AAAATGAACCTGGGGATGCATTCGAAATGAAGATTTCATCGTGAAAAACGATTAATCATTCGATTGATATTTATCAAACACAATCTGAAATTGGTGTATTGATACAAGAAAATCATCAATCACACAATCAATCATTTAATACATGATAGTTGCCAATTACCAAAAATCGTTGTATGGGATATTTCTCTTGATCGACTGAAAACTAAAATTTCATTAATCCAAGATGAAAGGGGACGGCAAGTAGTTTTGGGTGGGGTCGGATACTGTGGGAAAATTCTAACGAAGTCAAGAAAAAACAACTGATAATAATTAGGTGCTACCTAATGTATTATTTTGGTTTCAAATCAAATTCTGACTTATAAAACACAAGACCTAAAATTAATGTAAGAAACTACACCGAAGGTCTTGAGTCAGTTTTAAATAGTTTTAGTCTCGATAGGAATAGCAAAGTCGAGTGTGTCTTCTAGATGGGCGTCCGTCAATTTCGAACGATTTCAAAAAAATGCATTTTTGTGACAGATGTTTCACACGTATGTTGAGCCAAACATAGTGCCCAAATTTAAAGCTAGTTTTTTGCAGTTTTCACGTTTGGATCAAAATTCTTCAGTTTTATACATTTGCAAAGACACATCTTCTTGCAAATCAATAATATGCTTGAAGAAGCTATTGTATAGCGAAACACGTGTCGCGGTTTTTGTAAAACCCTTATAGTGAAAATCATAGAATGAACTCTATTTATTAGTTTTTTAAATATGGATTTTCATCAAGTATCGGCCAGTTCTATTCAATTAGCAAATCAATTATCTCTATTCGAAGTTATGGCTTTGACAGATTCAACAACTTGGCAGCCACATCTGTCCATTCTGCCACATCAACTAATTCGCACAAACACACAGGCTAGATAGGAAACTAATCAAACCATATTAGTTGTATGTGTAACGCTAGTTACAAATACATGTGGTACAAAACATAGAAATTGTTATTTCTCATTTTTCATGATGATCTATTACCACGTAGTAACGGTTACATCTATCAAGTTGAGTAACTCTGTCTCTCTCTTTCTCTCTCTCTCTCTCTCTGTCTCCCTCTAGATTTTCTTGGCTTTTGTTTCCGTACGGCGCATTTAGCCAACAAGTTTAGTAACTTCATTACATTTACGCAGAGTTTTTACTGATACAGATTTGTATATTTTTTTGGTTGCGAAAGGTTGAGAATCCAGAAAAGTTCAAGAAACACTGTACCCGAAACATTGTACCCTTCTTTCAAAGAATGCTTTTCTATTATCTTAGATTTTGAATGGCAACAAGATCGGCAAATAATTATTGTGGAAAGTGATACTTTTGCTTTTAGAGAACTCATACCTTCAATGTTTTGTGAAATTTGACATTTCGCCATCATCGCATCGTTTACGGCACTATCAAGATGCGTTTCTGATAGCCATTCATATGGGATAACTGATAACATAAGAGAGAGAGAGAGAGAGAGAGAGAGAGAGATCAAATAGCTCCCTTTTCACTTCAGAAGTCAATGACATAGTACACAATGTTGTACTGTTGAAGGTGGCACAGACAGTACGAAACGTTGGATTCGAATCTGATCACGTCAAATTGAGAAGAATTTACTATGAAATGAAAAATGACTAACATTTTTATCACGCTTTTATTAGCTTAACCTGTATGTATGTATGTTTGTTTGTGTGTAACTCCAGAATTATCAACATTATTGCTTGATCTATTCGCGGCAGATGGCGCTGTACGAAACCTCTTTGATATAATTCAAACTCACTTTACATGTATTTCTTCATTTAAATTTTTTTTTTTATTAACACGCGCGCCTGCTGCCTCATTTGTAACCCTCCTTTGCACGCCTGCTGCCTTGGGCTTGGTAGCTGATTTTCAGGCTCCCTCTCCGGAATCGGAAATTGAAGTTCCAGAAATTCACATAAGTTTTCGCTACCTCTTGAACATTTACTACAAAGTAAACAGTGAGGATTTTTCCAGCAAAAGATTTACAAACACAAGAGGAGATGGACTGTACGGAATCATTCAATCCAGAGCGGTCAGGAGTATTGATTTTGCTATTGTTTTGCTCACGAAGAGTATTCAACAAGAACCCCAAGAATTCGAAACAATCCTCTTGTTGTCCTAACGAGTATCTAATGGACTTTAAAGACTCCAGGAAATCGGTTGGAGGGAAAGATGACACATTCTTACGAAACTGCAGCTGCATGAACAGGTGTTGGAGTTTGATGAATAAGTAGGAAACATTTCCGTTCTCGTTCATCATTAAAACCTCGTTCTTGAAATTCTTCGTCATGAACAACACTGGTAAAATGCTATTCATGTATGTAAATTATCCAATCCAATTTTCTTCTCTAGATTTTCAGGGCAACTCTCTACTGATTCGTAAGGAAGAACATGTTTCACAGAATCTCAATTAGAACCATTTCTCAAGCTGCGATCGATCCTTCCAATTGAAAAAGGGTTTCGTAGAGGTATCGATTTTGATAATATTTAAAATGACGTAGAAAAAAAAAATCAAAATGACAGAATTTACTTTTCTTATGATATCTCAATAACCGGCCCAGATATTCTCGATTTGTTTTAACTACTTGACAATGCTTCTATGAATGCAACTTTTTGTCCATTTGACCATTTCCGTTTCTCCTTCTGACTCTTATGGTTTAAAAGTTACCAATACAATCACTTTAAAGAAGTGGCCAGGCCACCTCACAATGGAGGGATGTCACCAGAACGAATCCATTGTTTGAAAAAGTTTTTTATGCAAAAAATATTGATTAATAAAGTGAAAAGTGTCAAAGAAAAGTGGAATAAGATGTGAAGATGATCTGGTGGATGAATACCTGTGTTTTCTATAGTTTGTATTGTGCAAAAAATAAATGCTGAAAAGTTGTGATTTTCCAAACTTTGGAGGGCTGTAGCTGTGTGTGTGTGGAGCACCGTTTTTTTCTTTCCGATTCGTAAACCACACGTCAAATTACACCCAAACTACAACCAAATTTTTTTCAAAAATAAAAGGGTGCAGCCTACCTGAAATTCACCCATGTTAATCCAGTCATTTTAGGTTTTTTAAACCTCAATCTGCGGAAAAATTCCTACTGAGCTGAATTTTGGTATACACCTTCATTATGGCGTTTTGATGAAGATGTGAAAAATCGACATTGATATCGTGCCGGCTAAAAAAGTTATAAGGGTCAAAAGGTCACGAAAATCAGTTTTTCGCGAATATCTCGCGACCTATGGCTCGGAGGTCAATAAAGATCATTATAAAAATTATTCCTCATACGATTATCTACAAAAAATTCTCTTACATTTTTCTGTAAAGTTAACCGTTTTCGTACTAGAGCGCTGAGAAAGCGAGTAAAATGCACTCATAGGGTATTGTATACCGTATACATATAAGGCGTCAACTATATTGCTTCTTATCAATGTATTCGAATTTTCTTAAAACTTCCAACTTCTACTCGGGCGTTTTATGACAAATATACTTATATTATAGAGGTTTCGGAACGTATACCTGCTACTGCCTGTCGGACCGTGTTTAGCTCAGTTGAAAAATATTTCTAGAGTGTTAAAGACGTTATTTTTGTAGTTTTTTGCTCTTGAACAGTTTTCAAAATGAGTGATGAATGTTTCATATGTGATGAATCGTTATCTAGTGGTGACGTAGTAGAAGTTAGACGTGGTCTACAAACATTAAAAAATGCTAGTGTCACTAGAAGTGGTGGTAACAGTGACATTTGTAAATGTTCACAGTAATTGTCATAAAAATTATACGAACAATTTGAGTATTGCGGCCTTCAAACGACGCCAAGAAGAGCCGAGTACATCAATATCTCCGTGCAAAAAAAGAATTAATTCTTTTAATTTCAAAAAATCATGTTTGTTTTGTGGAGAAGAAGCAAGTGAAGAAATCGAAAGAAAAAAAAAATACAGACGCGCTATAAGAGAAGTGAGTACTCTCACATTTAAAGACACAGTTTTAAAAGCTGCAGAGGCGCGTGGTGATAAATATGGAAAAAATGTAAAGGAGCGTGTAAATTTTGAGTATGACCTTGTCTCTGTCGAAGCTAAGTACCATGATAAGTGTTTCTCCAATTTTTTGTTACTTAGTGGAAAGGGTGATGTAGGCCGTCCATTGGATGAGATATCAGAATTGCTATGGACACAATGTTTTCCATTACACTGAAAACAATGACGATTGTCAATTCACATTGGCTGAGTTGAAAGATGTAATACAAGGTTACGTTCCAGATAACAAGACAATTATAAAAAAATTGATTGCTCGGTACGGGAGTAATATTGTAATTACCACGAAAAGTAAATCTTTGACTATAATTTGCTTTCGAGATACTGCAGCTAATATTTTGACTAATCAAAGAAGATATTCGTTCCATTACAATTATTCACAACTCCACCACCAAGTTAAATGTTAGATAAAATTAATGATGACATTCTACAAACTTTATCACATTTCTTACATGAATTAATTGTAAAGAATAAAAAAGGTCAAAGATTCTACCTCAAAGGTGGTGCGGAAACGAGTGCATCATCATAATGTAGTCGATTTCTCAGCGCTCTAGTCCGAAAACGGTTGACTTTACAGAAAAATGCACGAGACATTTTTTGTAGATAATCGTATGAGGAATAATTTTTTTAATGACCTTTATTGACCTCCGAGCCATAGGTCGCGAGATATTCCCGAAAAACTGATTTTCGTGACCTTTTGACCCTTATAACTATTTTAGCCGGGACGATATCAATGTCGATTTTGATACATCTTCATTAAAACTCCATAATGAATGTGTATACCAAAATTCAGCTCAGTAGGAATTTTTCCGCAGATAAAACCTTAAATGACTGGACTAATGTGGCATGTAATTTCAACGCATCACTCCGTATTACGACCACGTGGTGCGTGCGCATCATTGTTTAATCCACGTTTGACAACGCTACTAACAAGTGGTCGAGTACTTCCATTATTTCAGTGCGCGATTGTCGTCGGTGGTAAACGAGGGTTCCTCTGCAAATCGTTCTGTACTTCAAATCTTCCATCATTTATCTCTGCGAAACAATTTTTCGAGTAAACAGTTAATAGTTGAATTGTTTAAATGGTTAAGACTTTAATATTCAATTGAGTGATATTTTTGTGTGCTAATATCAAGGATTATGAGCTAATTTGGACTTCAAACAACTGGTGCTAATTTTGCCAAAGTTGTTAATTACCATATCACTGGATGACGAAGAAAACTAGGCATAGAAAAATGCCCGTTTACAATATCATCACAAGGAGATGTAAGGTACTGTTTTTTACATGATCATTTATAATACTGCTTTATCCATCTTCCCGAATGGCTTACTATAATTGATTGAGTGACATCCCAATTAAACGTCAATGATCACAGATATACAATACTGGTTATCAAAATATGGAAAAAAAATATTCAATAGAAGCATTGAGAGTATGCTGGATCGGAGTAATATCATTCATTTTCGAAAAGGGATCAAATCAAGGCAAAGATTACACAAATGACATACCAAAACTTTGAAAACATGCTTTGAAAACTGGTATAAGCTAAGTGACAGTTTCACTGAAGGTTCCAAATTGCAACGACCTTTAAAGTTTCCCTTCTCTTCATGACCGATACCAAAAAGTAGAGCCACTTATATCTATCTTAATTAATAGCAATGATACTAGTCCATGTAGTACGACAGTAATAAATTTGAAACAAGTACTAATAATTCAACGTCTCACACCTGGTGATATCATTACAAACAGGTCATTTTTTCTTTCAGTCTTTAATTACTATTTACCCACCAAATGACATATTAAGATCGCAGAAATTAAAGAACAATGTTATCTGTTGTGAGACCAAAACTCAACGATAACGAAAATAAAATGTTTACACTGTATTATATTATGAAATATTGAAATTTCCAGATGAAGTACTTCAAATAGTCATGGAGGATTAAAAACCGAAGTAACGAGATTCAAAGTCTTCCAATAAGTGTCTGCTTTACAAAGATAAATATGATTTGAGGAAATGAACGAAAGAATGCCGCCTAATAATCATTGGAGATCAGCTGTTGACAAAAGCAAGATATATTCCATACTAGAGTACCCTCAATACTTAACGATGATATTGTTTCGCTTTGATACGATGTAATCAGACGATTTTTCTCACCTTGAATTCCCATTTAGGTAGTAATTCGCAATATTAATAAGAGATGGGTCGAACCAATTCAAAACTTGGAGTCGTGGTGTGGGAACTCACAATCTTATCGGAGTGTCGGCATTATTAATATAATCACTTTACAACTTTGAGAAACGTATGACGAACTCAAAAGCCGTCAAAATTTATTATTATTATAAAGTTGCGTCACATTTACCTAAGTAGTCCGAGTTGGTTTTGTATATTCGCATCCGAAACGATCGATATCAGGACTAGAGAAAGTAGAGTAGACGTAAATGAAAAGTTCATTAACAAACTTAAAGCATATTGTTCAAATCTCATTTAGTCGAATGTTTTTTCTATGTGATATCTCGATCTAAACCTTATGTGGTTACATCAGGTTTACCACAGGGGCGTCACTTGGGGCCATTCTTTTTTATAATTTACATCAAAAATATTATTGAAGAATTTGAACATTCCAAATATTTACTGTACGACAACCTCAAAATTCATCGAACCATCAAAGACATGCAGTACTGTGAGAGACTGAAATTACCTTGATACAATCGCAGAAAACTGTGGCAAAAGTAGCATGTTCCCAAATCACGCAAAATATATAGTGAATCATTCTATTGAAACAGTAAATGAAGAACGCGATTCAGTTGTAATATAGGATTCCAAAATAACTTTTGAAACTCACATAGAGAGAAGGACTGCTCAAAGTGCTCAATCTATATTAAACTTTTATATATAGATGCTTTAAAATGTTCAAAATGACAGATATTCCTATATTCAATGTAAAACTTCGTTCAGCTTTCAATTTTTTCTTACAGATAGGAGAAAAATCTCAGATCTATTAATGTTGTACAAAATATTTGATAATCTTATCGATTGCCCAAAAATGTAAGTTGATACACTTTTTCAGTTTCTGCAATGCTATTCACCAAGTGATCATCTTCAAGAAGAAAATTAAACAGTGTAATCCTCCTCTTGAAGATGATCACTTGGTGGTGATTGAAGCACGTGTCGAGGTGTGTGTTAAAAATAACGGTTTGGTATTGAGTTGAAACTCCAGTAATATACATTACTACACCAAGTGATCATCTTCAAGGGGAAGATTAAACAGTTTAATCTTTCTCTTGAAGATGATGACTAGGTGATTGGAACACGTGTCGAGTAATTAAAAATAACGGTTTAGTCTTCCTTTTGAAGATGATCACTAGGTGATTGAAACACGTGTCGAGTTGTTAAAAATAACGGTTTGGTATTGGGAAAAAGCTCCAGTAATATACATTACTACACCAAGTGATCATCTTCAAGAAGAAGATTAAACAGTGTGATTCTCCTCTTGAAGATGATCACTTGGTGGTGATTGAAGCACGTGTCGAGGTGTGTGTTGAAAATAACGGTTTGGTGTTGAGTTGAAATTCCAGTAATATACATTACTACACCAAGTGATCATCTTCAAGAGGAAGATTAAACAGTTTAATCTTTTTCTTGAAGATGGTCACTTGGTGATTGGAATACGTGTCGAGTTATTAAAAATAACGGTTTAATCTTCCTTTTGAAGATGATCACTTGGTGATTGAAGCACGTGTTCAGGTGTTAAAAATAACGGTTTTGTTTTGGTTTAAAACCCCAGTAACTTACATTGCTACACCAAGTGATCATCTTCAAAAGGAAGATTAAACAGTTTAATCACTAGGTGACTGAAACACGTGTCGAGTTGTTAAAAATGACGGTTTAGTCCAAAGGTCTACGTTTTTCGACTGCATTATCAAAAGACAATTCTTCTTCCCTTTTTTCATTGAAGCATGAACTCGTGTGATTATCCAATAAGGAGAAAATAACTTTTTTGTAGGTTTTATGATGTCAGGTTACCTCAGAATTAGTTTGTTAATTTTTTTTTGCTAACTTTCGATTTTCAGTCCATGACAAATTACCTTTAATATAAATGATTCGTATCCAATATCAAACATTGAGAATAGAATGTACCTGTTACAAGTGACTTATAGCCGAAAAAAAAATATTTGATCGATTCGTATGATGAAATTATACAAAACTAGCGAGATTGTAGAAGTGATCTTCGGGAAGAAAATTTAAAGCCTGAAATTAACTCAATTTGATTTCATACCAAAGTTTGAATAAAAAGGTTCTAATCATTCTACGATTATTTTTTCCCTGTCAATGTATGAAATTGTATAATCCGATATTTTGTCTTATAATTGATGTTGACAAATTTTCAAAATGAATATTCATCCAAATGATTCTTTATATGTATTGTTTGCAACGCTGTCCCGAGATTCAGCAACAAATAATTATTCTCAAGTTAGTTAATGCTATTCAATATGAAAGATGCTGATATACTTGTATGAAATAATAAAACCAACTTAATTACAATGCCAGTAATTATATTGAGGGATTAATTTACACCTCCAGTTTGTACGTAATATTTACCCCAAATAGATGAATTTGCGTCTTATCTGCAATAAAAGAAAAAGTTATGATCCTGATTTTATATCATAAGTTAACCCACAAACATTTGAAATAGAGTGATATACGGGGTGCGCCAATTATTTGTCGGAGTTAAATAGATTAGTTCAACATGTTATTGTCCTTAGAAACATTTGGAGATATTTTTAGATAAATGAGCATGATTTCAACTATTTCGAAAATCTGTAACAAAGTTAACAACAAATTACGTACATCGATTACGTACCTTCTGTTGCACATATTGAAACGTTTTTATTCATGTTTATGAAACTGTCAATTATATGAAACTTTCTTAGAGCCAAAATAAAAGGTACTTTGGTAACGTATAATTTACCATAAAATGTCATTAGAGCCAAAAACTCATTTCTTGTTTACTTTCCTATGTGAATGAATATCAATCAGGTCAGGTCAACACATTTGATCAAATTTTTTATACTTGTATTTTTCCACTAAATATACCCTAAAATGTGTCTATGATTAGTTTTAAAACCATTTCCATGAATTACGTTTTCCATAACCTTCCATTACAGTTGTCATTATCATTTATGGTAGGAAATTTCGAAAACACGACAAATAGACAAATAGAATCACCTACAAAAAATACAGTTACAATTAGACATCGATTAATGAAATTTTTTTTAAAACCTTCATTTATGAAATATATGTATATACAAAAATATACCTACAATCTATCTTATAAACTATTTATATTCATATGTATTTATAATTCAGGCATTTATAATTAAAACTGAAAATAAAATATTTTATTAGAAATATTATCTATTTTCCTTGATTTAATTTTACGCCACCTATCCGCTCTGAGCATATCAATAATTCTCCTATGTGTTTATGAACATCTAAATTATAATGAACAATTCCACAGATTGCCCAAACCCACACTGTTCTATTCAACATATCATCTATCTTGACATTAAATAATTCTTTGGGTTCGGTGTACATAGCTGTCAATCCATATATCCAAAATAGTTTGTTTCTACTCCACTCCCATATATCCCTTGCTGGACCACACGTTGTTAACCTATGTGCAATATTATCGGTTACAATAAATTTACTGCAATCCGTACTAATGCTCAATGCATGTGAATACAGTTTTTCTGCCACTGGGAATAGTTAATTTATGGCTTTATAAGCACTAGAACGCCACCTTGTTGGTGTATATATGTTTATTTATGAAATGGGAAGAGATGAAACTCAATAAAATACACGTTTTATGGAAAATATACGAAAGCAGTAATTATCCATTTCATTCGTGATATCATGTTTCTCAGTGTACCTATTTCTTCCCGTCATGCGTCAGTTATCTGGACTTCAGCTGAGAAATCAAGTCAATCTATTTCGCTTTGGTGAAGCTGGAGCTGACCTTGACGGTTTTCGAAAAAATGTATCTGAATTATAGTGAAAGTAATGTTCAAATGTCCATGGCCCTGTCTGTGCCGAAGGTGTACCTATTATGAATTAACAAACATTTAAAAACGAAATCGATTGGACTTTCACTGACCGCTTGTTGATTGATACGTTTATCGCTCCATATTTCAGTTTCTGGTTTATACATCTCATCCTGAACTGAATTGAATAAACCATTGAACGCTCTCAAAAATAATTTTTTCTGCGTT